AACCCTTCTGTAATGACCCAAAAATCATTATGTTAACAACATTAGGTTTTCGTTGCTCGAATATTACATGTTGTAAAGTTATTTCGATTCTAAGATTATAGAATGAAATAAATTAAGTAAAAGGGTGTTACTTTATATCTAAAAGAATGATCAAATATATTTAAAAGGTATATAGTCTAATTAAAAGTTTTTGTGGGATTTTATGGTAAATTTCAAGGGGTAATAAGGGGGTTTTTAGAATTTAGGGGCTAAAAAGTCATTAAAGGAAACCTGACTTATTAGGATATCTAGTTTTTGGGTAAGAGCTACCAAGCAAGGGAATCTTAGGGATCAAAACAGTAAGTGTGTAAAAAACAACCCTTGCGTCGTAACTTACTATGCGTCGACTCCTTTGCTTCATTCGACCGTTCCTTTGTGTTGGGTTGTTACGAGCGACTCAACGTCCCTCCATTACTCGCTTGGGCTACTGCTATTCACGACTTCAACAAAGAAAGAGACCGCGGGAAAGAAATAAAGTCGTGCGACAACCCAGTTTCGATGGTTTATTTAAATCGCATGCAAATTATCAACAACCCAGTTTCGATGGTTTATATATATATATATATATATATATATATATATATATATATATATATATATATATATATATATATATATATATATATGGCTAAGTTAATATGTTTTTCACATTTATTATGTGCTGGAATGCATCAATAGGAATTTTGTAAAATTAAATCATTATTTAATTAAATAAATATAGATATTAAATGATTTCCATAATTATATGTATATTAAATAATATCCGTAATTATAATTCTCTTTTTATGGAAACTAATTAAATTTGTTATCAATATCAGAAATAACATTCTTTCAGAATGAATTCGCATCTAGTTTTTTATGTTACGATTCTTGTTTTGTTTCGGAACACACTCACTTCAAATACAATAAAGTTGCATGGAATATGAAAAACGAGAGTGTATTCTAATAGAATAGACTCTCATTCTGCTAGAATACAATCTCATTCTTCTATATACGAATTCATTCTGAAAGAATATATAATTGTTGACATTAATGACGAATTTAATTAGTTTCCATAAAAAATGAATTATAATTATAGATATATTTTAATATACATATAATTATGGAAATCATTTAATATCTATCTTTATTTTATTAAATAATAGTTTAACTTTTACTAAATTCTTATTGGTGCATTCTAGCACACAATAGATGTGAGAAAGATTTGAACATATATATATATATATATATATATATATATATATATATATATATGAGCTAGGTTCAAATGTTTCTAACAACTATTATTTGCATGTATGCACCAATAAGAATTGAGGAAATAATAAATCATTAAATAAATCATTTACCAATATTATAGTAATCTTTGCATATTTAATTATGGTAGATAATTAGTATCTTTTAATATCCCTTTAAATATAGGATGTCAAAGTCAAAACCTGTAGAAAAAACCAACAATTTCCGTCTTCCTCCTTCTTCCATAAGGCTACAATGTCAGATTACTCCACCACCGCCGCCACCCTCTTTCTTCTCTATGGCTACCACACCATCTTCTTCTTTCCCCAGAACAATAAGCCCTCCAATTTCTTCTATTACTTTATTCTGCAAACCATTTGTCTCAACCCCCACACAAACCATCTTCCCCCTGATTTGATTCTCCTTCTTCATCAGGAACGAAGAGAAATAGAAACACAAATTCTCTCTATTACATATTCTATTAAAGAAAGGCTTTTGTGTTTAACGATTATCACACCCTTCTCCATTCTTCATCAGGAACCTCTAATTTGGTGAGTAATTGTTAGTCTTTCTTCTACTTGATTTCTAACCCTAAACACAACTTTAGGGACGAAGGAAAAAAGAAACCAAAATATGGGGATAATTTCTAACCCTATAGTCTGGTTGGAGCTTTTTTTTGTTTATGTTTTTAGTTTTCTCTAACAAGAAATTTGAAGGCTTTTGCTCCAACAAGAAATTCGAAAAATTAAAAGTATAATTTTTATGTACAGAGCAGTGGTCTTGATTGGATAATTACCATAAAATTTTGATTATGGGTGTATCTGACAGCAATTCTGCCGGAATGGAAGATCAGCGTTTAATTCTGTCAGTATGGAATCACGATTTTATGGCATAAAATCTCAAATTACTTGTTAGTATTTGAAGGTATACACTCTTTTATTGGAAATTTAGTCACATTCATGTATTTATTAATTACATATGTTGTATGTTTCATCAAATTGAGTATAAAGATCTGAGCATCCGATTTTGCCCGCCAATTGTTTGCTAAAATGCTTGAATCAAATATTTCATCCAATTTTTTTGTAATCTTTGAACTATCATATCTCTCTCATACTAGCTCGGAATGATTTGATTTTTTGTTGCATGTTCTCCTTTGTCTTAGCTACAAGTTTGGTTTTGAAGTCATTTTAATTGGATTAATATTGGCTGAGTTACAGTCCTTCAAACATTGGATGTTACATCTATATTGTTAGCACTTTTACTTTATTTAGAAAATTTTTGTGATCTTTGAACTGTCATATTTCCCACATTCTTGCTTGCAATAATATGACATTTTTCCAACGTATTGTCCTCTGTGTTAGCTACAATGTAGGCTCTAGAATCATTGTAATTAGATTAAGTCGATTATTTGGATCAAATGACTCGAGTATTACATTCTGTTAGAATAAATTAAAAGTCTTTAATGTCTAACACATTCTGTTAGAATTTATAGTTTTATTCTTTTAGAATATACTAAAAGTTTTAATATTTTAAAGTTGATTATGTTTCTTTGTGGATATAGATTTTGAAGAGGTTGTCATTGATGTGGAAAAAGAAGAAAACATGGAGAATGAGAGTATTCTAGCATAATGTATTCTGGCAAAATGTATAAAGTGTTTCTGAACAATAATATTCTTTCAGAATGAATTAGTGTTTTTGTTAGATTTTGATGTTTTTATTTTTATTTTTTTTAACCATTCTTAGTTTTAATCTTTAAGAATAAATGTAATTTTTAAACCATTATTAATCATTTTTTTTTCCAGAATGAATGTAATAATTGTTTAGTCTTATTCTTTACGAATTAATGTAATTAGTGATTCTTAAAAAAAATAAAATCCATATTCTTTAGAAAATGTTATTCTTGATAATATGTTGTATAATTCTTTAGACATATCAATTATAAAAAATAAATTGAATGATACATACTCTGCAAGAATAAAATCGAAAATATATTTACTAGTTTATATTTGACTCTTTGTCATTCTGGTAGAATAAAATCGCTGGTATTAGAAATTATAATAGAATTAAATTTAATTAATTTAAAAAATTCAGATTTAAAAAAAGGAAATTAGTTATCCCTTAAAATCCGGAAATTTCCTTTTTTAATGTAGGTTAATTGACCAAAACACTTTTTACTGAAATTTGTGTGATTATATGGTACATGTTACCCTATTGTAATATCGTAGACCCTCACATCATGATCATTGATTTTATTCATCCATTGGTCCAGAATTGTGCTTACGGGCACACAATAGATGTAAGAAACAAAATAACCTAGCATATATATATATATATATATATATATATATATATATATATATATATATATATATATATATATATATATATATATATATATACGGCAAAAGCTGGGGCGGATGCTTTAAGGGGTCAGGGGAGGCCATGGCCCCCCGTTTTTTGGCCTTCCAGGATACTGGTGGAGGCGTTAACAATGATACATATGAGGGGATTTGTCTTGTAATAGAGTTAAAATAAAGATAGAAGTTACTGAACTTAGAAACATAAAGTGATAAAACAAGAAAGGAAATCAGTGAAGTAGCATAAAGAATAAACAAGAAATTTTTCCGATGAATCCAACAATTTGTTATTTGCTCGTTGCCCCCACAGCCCAAGTCACACATCTATTATAAACCATTGATTTGTGATTGTTTACAAAAGGAAGAGACATAGTTGCGCGACATTGTTTAGTTGTTCAATGGCCGCTGCTTTTCGCTTCTCAGATATCCAAAAGAAATTGAGATTAGGTATTCTATAAAGGGTTTATAATTTTATCATTGGGGGCTTCAATGGATTTTTGGGCTTTGGTTACTTGGGACTTTAATGGGTTGTTGGGTTTGAGTTACTTTACTCAATAAACTATAAATTGTTAAAAATTAGACACACTTTAATAATATATCTAATGGAGTTATTTATTTGATTAATTTTGATTATCATATATTCAATAATTTATTTGAATCTAATTATATAGGTAAGTTATTTGTTTTACTTTAAAGAGTTTCTGGTAAGTAATTCAGTTATGTCATTTATTGTTTTTTTTAATTTGTTTTAAGTTAATAAATTTGTTATTAAAGAGTATTTCGTTTGTGAAAAATAAAGTTTGGAATTTTTATCGTTTATTTGAGTTATGTAATCATTAATTATTAACATAGATAAATGTTTTTCAAAATTATAAATAAACATACTTGTCGACCGTAGAAAAAAATCGTCATTCCGAAGAGTATTTATGTTAATTCATCGTTGGTTAGAATCTTTGATGAATGACATAAGAACATTTCATATTAATTGGAGTAAATTACACGAATGGTCCCTATGGTTTAGGTTAATTTGCGCGTTTGGTCCATAACTTATTTTTTTAACTCGGAAGGTCCCTACTGTTTGTTTTTGTTACGCGCTTGGTCCCTGTCTTACATAAAAAGACTATTTTGCCCTTGGTTTTTTAATTTATTTAAATAAACACATCTCCAACCCCACCCTCATCACCTTACCTTACCTACGCCACCATTTTATTCCTATTTAAATAATAGTTTTTTAGGTACGAAAAGGACCAAGCGCGTAACAAAAACACACATTAGGGACCAAGTGTGTAACAAAAACAAACAGTAGGGACCTTCCGAGTTAAAAAAATAAGTTAGGGACCAAATGCGCAGATTACCCTAAACCATAGGGACCATTCGTGTAATTTATTCTGTTAATTGTCTTCTTTACATATCGAATATATAATAACTTAAATCGAATTAAAATTGGTATATATTAAACTTGGTATATGTCTTTTTTTTCTGAAGTTTTATTTCTAGCCCCCTAGTTTTAGTGTTCGTGTTCGCCCCTGGACAGAAGAATGTAATACCAAACTAATTGCATAACATAACAAGAACAACATATTAAGCTAGACAATACAAAGTAAGGGAAAACCGGGTTTCGAATATTATTTTTTATCGATATTTCATATATATGTTTCTACGCAACCCAAGTGATCATGCATGTCTCCATGTCCATGCTCTCAACGTAAAGGCTCACTTCACCCTGCATAAACGAAACACATTATGGGATTACAATTTACCATTCAACAATATTTACTCTTAAAGAAATCGATCGAGGATGCATGTAATGATTTCATTTAGTAAAAATTACAAGTATAAACTGGACCTACTTGGAGCAATCGGTTTTAAGGCTGATCTTGTAAGGAATATTAACAGCACACTTTTTTGGAAGAACAAGGGCGTTCTCTGGTTTGATGCCGGGATTTGATTTATATGCTTCCTTCATACAAACGCAGGCGGTCTTCCGATCAGGGGTTGATTTAGCCGCCGCATGCAGTCCCTTAACACCCTTACAGCATGGCGTTGACACTGCACCACCTTTCTTCAGGTAGTTTGCGCATGGGGTCAACTTGTTAACGACATCATCACAAGTAATAGCCATTGTATAAGGCGTTGACACCACCATGAAGGCCACCACAACGCATAGAACCTTCATTATCATCCTTGTCATTTTTCAACTGTAACTTGTATTTTCTCTTGCTTGTTCTGTTTGGTGTGAGAAAGTATTTCGGAGGGTATCATGTTTTTATAGGTACGTCTATGCATGCATGTGCATGTGGGCTTGGCAAAATCGGTGAAGTTAAAAAAAATAAGAATTTCAAAATTTATCATATAATATAATATGAAATCTCTAGTAAAACTCTAAATTTTGATATGCAATTAATTGACATTCATCGTCACAATTCACACACAATCCACAAAGATGATTTTAATCGAATAGTTGAATAAGGTAACAAGTTCAATTGTCATTCAATAAATGAAATTCTACCATTATGAAATGTCAGTTTAATTTCAATGAAAAATAAAAAGTTTTCTAATTTTTAAATATTGTTATAAATTGGTTTTGCTAATATTTCATTGACTTTGTAGAATTCAATGTAATATAGAAACAAATTAATAGAGTTTCATGGAGTATAAAGTGATGTTGTCGTAATCCATTAAACTATATGCAATGGATGGTGAATGTCTTAACAAACAATTCCCTTCAATATCAATCAAATTTTATGAACTTTAAAATCTTCATAACACCCCACGTAACATTGTTATTTTTTATAAGCTTTCGATTAAATGTATTCATTTTTAACAAGAGATTTTATTAAAAAATTGTATTTCTATCTATAGCTTACATGTAAATGGTATTGCTAACTTCTATCCCATATTATATTGTATATCAAATAAATGATGTAACAATTAGCTTCTATTTCATCGGTATCAGGTGATTTCCTTCCTCTTTGAGGTCGATGATTCAAATCTCATCATGGATAATGAAATTAGGTGTTAGCTTATGAGTACATTATATTTACCTCTCAAAAAAATGATGTACTTCATTTAGGACAGTGTCATTGTACAAATGTCTTTGTACACATGCCTTAAATGGTTAAGACTAATTTTGGATGGCTTAAAGATACCGAATTTAATTCATATGATTGTTTAGTAAACGTTAATGGAAGCATCCAAAGAGTATTTGGTTTTACATAGTTTTATTCTTATGACTGTGATATATGGTTTTAAATACAGTAAATTTAAGGATGAAAATATATGTTTAGTATGTGTTTGTATGTATATTGATAAACTAAAACAACAAACTGTCATCATAAGTTTCATTTAACAACAAATTTAAAATATTGATAGTGTTTTACGATTGACCTTTTACGTGGGCTTAAAGTGGACTGATGTGGATCGTTAAAATGGTACATTTTACCATTTTTTTTAACAACAATCGGAATTAATTCTACTTTGGGAATGATAATTAAGTAATGTCGAACCATGAGACAAGGAACCCATATTTGAATTCTCATCTTCTTAGTGAGAAGACATATTCGAATAGTCATCAACTGAAGTCTTTCGGATTTAAGACGTTTTGCAGTTCTAGTTTAGCTCCAAAAAGAGAAAATATTGCTTTCCTAAGAAAAAAGATATTGCAATATTAATGGAAAGAAGAAAGTATATCTTAAAAGAAGATCAAATTGGAGCTTCTTTGGACGTTAATGAAATATGTAAATTCATCTTCTAGATATTCCAGATAAAATTCATTAACAATATTCTTTAAAGTATAATTATTTTATGATTAAAAACTTAATAGTTCATTGCTAAGAAAGTAGTCCACGAAAATTAATTATTAATATTTATATTTTAGTTATAATCTGAGCATGTTGTGTTTTGGAAAAAAAAATCAAAAATAAATCTTATAATTTTATTTTTCTTAACTTTGATTATAAGTTTGATTAATAATTGAGTGACTGAATATTTTCATTGTTTCTACAAATTTCTAAGCCAAAATTACTTTTGTTTTCCATCATCTTTGCTTCAATAGTTTATTGGTGTTATTTGTTATGGTTGAACCTTCACAAGAGTCCTATACTATACGTATTTTATGTCTAATCAAATATAGTCACAAACCTAAAGTGATGCAGTTCAAAACGACTCAAACACTAATGCAAAGTTGCTTTTGGCAAAAATGAAGTTCACAATATATATATATATATATATATATATATATATATATATATATATATATATATATATATATATATATATATATATAAAAGGTATATTTTCTTTTATTTGAAAAAAAAACTAATTCTTTATTTCTTTTATTTTTTTATTTTTTTTAAATCAGCGAAATTATTCCTTACATATCGGAACTAATATTTAAAAAAAAGATCTTTTAAAAAAATGGGATTGTTAATGCATATTAAAAAAAAATTGTATATGCATATTTAATAAAGAATAAAAAAAACATGTGCATATGTTCATGCACATTTTTAAACAACATTTTTAATGTCTTTCTATGCATAAGTATATATATATATATATATATATATATATATATATATATATATATATGAATAAGTATATGGATAAGGGAATTAAATGCATATGATTATGCTTATGTATATACATATGATTAAGATATGCATAATAATAAGTATATGCATAAGCCATTTATATATATATATATATATATATATATATATATATATATGATTAAGCTTATGTATATACATATGCATAATAATAAGTATATGCATATGCATATGCATATGCATAAGAATAAGTATATACATATTCATAAGAATACGTATATGACATGCATATACATAATATGACATATGCATAATAATAAATATATACATATTAATAAGTATATGCATATAGACATATGAATAAGTATAGGCATATGCATATGAATACGCAGAAAAATGTATATGCATATATGTATATGAATAAGTATAGACATAGGCACATATATGCATAAAAATGTATTGCATATAAATAACTATAAGGCATATGCATATACTTATTCATATGTTGTTGGTTTATGAAGAAACTAGAGGTTGATGTGGTTTTTTGATAAGATTTTGAATTTAATCGACAAATCAAATAAATCTAAATTTCATTGGTGTTTTGTTGGTTCACACCCTTTGTATAACCGTAATATTCACATATGAAGCTCTTTAAGCAGGCCCGGTTTTGAAGGGGGGGCAAAAGGGACATTTGCACAGGGCCCGATCTTTTTAGGAGTCCAAAAAAAAATATATAAGATGACACTTCCAGATTTTGAGAGTAAACTGTTAAGACTTAAGAGTATTTTAACCCGATAAAACTATAAAAAAAAATAGTAATCGAAATCTAAAAATCAAAACTTTACACATCATAATCACCATTTAAACTCATAGGATTCAGAAAGCCTAGAAATGTTAGATTATCTAAACTTTTACAAAAATCACAAATGATAGAGAAAACAAATCTAAAATGTAAAAACTAAAAACACTAACTATGGTACTCCAGTTCTTGTCGCCGCCTTAAAGATGACTCCGTTCAATGCAGGAAACCTTCTCCCCCGTAGCCCCAGTGTGTCGTTCTGATCAAATACGCATCTCGATTCGGAGATCTTCCAGCCTAGAGCTCTCACTGTATGTGCATTACTCTCCCTCTCTCTAACATCTCCCGTGTTGCTCTTGCCTCTCTATTTGACTGTGTTTTTATTATTTGTCATTGATATATGAAAAACTCTTGTCTCATTGCCTATTCAACGTTATATTCGATGTCATGTCAGTGTAGAGTAGAAGGCTAAAAGCCTAGAAGATAAAAGCTAAAAACTTTTTCTTTTGTAGCTTTTGCTTTTTAGCTTCTATTAGTATATTGGAATATTAAAAGGTTTTTTTTTTTTTTTTTTTGCTTGGGTTCTCTTTTTTCCTTTTAAACAACAATAAATTACCAATAAACCGGCATAACTTGACTATGTGTTCCTTCTGAATTATGGATCATTTATTAATTTTAAGATTGTCAATTTTATTTTAGTTTTACTAGAGGATGAGTGTACTTTGAACATTTATTATTTGAATTGCGAAAGACAAATTGATTGAAAACGCTAACATGGATAAAATAGAATAGTTATAAAATATGATTTTGTTTTCCATTTCTAATAACATCATACTTAATAAAAATATAAATTAGCTTTGAAAAATAATATGTATTCGCTTCCTTTGGTATCTCGATCCATTTAGTTTTAATGGTAATGTTCCGTTCCTGGTGACACAGCCGATCATTCATTCATTACATGTTAGGGCCTAAGGGCATTTTTTTCCATCTCGTCCTGGACATTTTAATCCTCAGGACCGACCTTGTTTTAAGGTTTAAGGACTCCGGTCCTTCCCCAATATAATGCCTTTTAAACATGCTTAAATTATTTTAAATAAAAATGGATTTTAAAAATATGTCTAATGAAATGGAAATGTTTATAAAGTTGCTAAAATATACGATTATCTAAATATCTTTTGTCAAAAACATTAGTTGGTTATTTTAATAATTACTTTTTAGAATCATATTTAATATATTAATTATTATATATTAAAAATTTATTTTCAATCAAATATATGAAATTGAATAATATGTTTACGTGCGTTATATTTTTTTTCAAGGACTTCAATTTTTGCCATAAGCTTTGAGGATTCAAGAGTACGAGCTTCTTGCATATAAATTTTGCAGAAAATGAAGTCAACACTACCACTTTGAATCTAGTCAACAACTTTTTAAACAAAGAAGAAAAAATTCCATAAAATAAAAAATATATAAAAATATATTAAAAAATAAAATATAAAAACGAAGAAATGGGGGTAATGTTGTGTTTTGTATGGTTGTGAGGCTTGCTGATGTTTCGTTTTCTAGGTGAAATATAACGTCCCAAAAATTAAGACAAAAAATTTTCGTTTTTAAATTAATAAAACTATTATCCAACACATCATCATAAAACCATGGTGGAACAAAGTGTATCAACTACATCATAAAACTTCAGAGAAATCATAAAATACGGAACGAGGTGGTGTGTGCACTGCAATCATCTCAGACTCTTTCCTTTCGAACCAGAAGTACCTGAAACATAAACTGAAAACCATAAACACAAAGCTTAGTGAGTTCCCCAAAATATCACATACCATACATAATAAACATATAAAGAGCTCCGCCCGTCATCGGGCCCTGCCCGACATCGAGCCC